CTTCCTAAACATGAGGACCTTGAGGGCTTTTAACTTCAGGCCCCACTCACTGCCGCTTAGTTAGCTTCTAAATCTTGTTACCAATGTGCTGCCTAAATCGATAAATACACTCTTAGTATCAGATTGAAAGATTAGTTTGTGGATAATCAGCTATATATAATTATTGTTACATTACGATCTGGCTTTTCTTTCGCGGTTGTTGCATAATTTTCTACCAACTGTTTATACATTTATCATTTGGAAAGAACCTGGCTGTAATTTAAGTTTCACACACCCAAAGTTTACATCCAGAAGAAGGTGTAAGAACAAACGCTGTAAAAGCGTTCTTAAATTAAAGGAGCTAATCACGGTTTGCGCATCATCTTGAAAAGTTTAGCCTAAGTTTGTCGTTTGTAATCAGTGTCATTCTTCTCTATCGTTAACCATCCTTGTTCCTTTATGGTTTATTATTATCTCTTTGGTGTTGTTCTATCTTACTGTAGTAAACTATCATTTTTAGGTTTCATTCAATTTAAAGGTAATTTTGAACGAGGCGAAAATAACTCAAAATAATGTACGTGTCTGAGCTCCTTCAATACTCATTCCACAGACCGTTAGGACTAAGCAGATATCGTCGGAGACCAAAGGGAAGATAATCAGTGCGATAAACTTGCAAATACCTTTCGAGGAAATTCTAGTGAAAGAACTTATCACATGCTGCAGCCAATAAAACACCTGATTAGCACACCCAACACTCCACGTTTACAGCCTTAAGGTAGGCAGGAAATGGTTATCGCCTCTTTTAAAGTTATTAGATGTCTCTTAATGACGTGTGCGAAGTCCGTACTTAAGTTACGGAGCGAGTTTTTCCACCCTCGACTCATTTCCCCTTCGCGGGCCATAAGTCGAAAGGGCAAAACAAAGATCCGTAACTTACTTTACGAGCCGAGAAGACGAAATTAGTAATATAAACAACTGCGTGTCTGACAAGGTGCGAGAAACGATTCTAGTCACGCGGAATGGCTTTAAATTGACTTACGCACGTCGAGAGCAAAACAAACCTATTCGAAATCATCCTCAAGTAGAAGACTGGACGATTCGGTCACGTTTACAGAAAATGAGTGCAAAATACAAATTTAAACACAGTGGTTATATAGGAATCCTAGAGAGGGGTGCTCTGTACCAACTTTTGAGATATAAGGTAACTAGAATGAATTTCTTATGTTTGAGGCCTGGACAGTTCATTAAGGAACGAACTAACAGAAACAGATCAAAAGCTAATTTCTCCTCACACTATCAAAACATTGTGAGGTGGACAGGTGTTGAGAAGAAAGAAAAACTAGGCAGTGTGGCCAATAGTTACCTTGTTGAACTAGCAAATTCTTAGAACTGACAGTGAAAGAAACTTCTAGTAATAACTTGAGAGAATTAATTATTGCAAGTAGAAGAGCGGTAAAAATAGGTATCACTTCGCTCTTCTATTTGCTTGTTTTTCGATATTTTGCACTGAACGATGGCGGTTTCTAGTGTGATGTACGTGACGGATAGATGTTAGCAGATATTTCTAGGACATGTTGCCGGAAAATGTAAAATGTCCACAGGAGTGCTCACCCTTGAACTTTATACCTTTTTGGTGTTTGCGGTCTTCTCTAGCTTTGTTTTCATTCTTTGTAACTTAGCTAGGTGTGCCAGTTTCGCCGTTTCATCTGCGAGTAGCTGCCGACAACAGCCTGCAGCTCGTGCCTTCAAAGAATTGCCAATTGACGCGCTGAAGACGAAATATGAAAAAAAGCGGATAACCAAAGGTAAAGACTTTCTATGCATGAGAATTGGAGCTATTCAATTCAATTTTTATCAGAGGAATTTGGCAATAATGACAAAAAATAATATTGTTTTTGGCCTCCGAGTTATAACATCAATTTGAGAGGTTTTTTCTTCTGAATCCCTTTGGATTCAGACCGGTACAAAGTTGGAAACACGTGACTCGGCTATTTTGCCGTCACTCAAAACCGATTGAGGTGATGTTGATTTTCATCTTCGTGTGAGCTCTTCCTCCCGGTGGTTTATTTATAGACCACGTCACTGGCAAGAAAAGAACGTGAACGATAAAAGACACGATTAAAACAACTTCCGTGGGTGGTTGTTTTTTCGCTACACATGCAGTTTAGCACTGAAAGCAGCGATCACGCGTTTTTTTCTTATCGACTTCCTTATCACGCGAACAAACTTTTTAGCACGTGTTGTCAGTAATTTATTTGGCAATAGGAAATATCCGCTTTTTATCGAGGATGGCGATATAGTTCTGCCATGTCTTTGATCTGTCATCTTTCGATTTCTATAGGTTTGGCATGAAGCCTACAATTATTCTAGCCTACGAGGTCGCGAGTTCATGTATGTTCTAATCTGCAAGGAGGCAGAAACTTTCAGCACCTAAATTACAACCTAAATAGTTTTATTCTGTTTTATATACAATAGACCAGAATAATGCCGGAATAACACGGAAAATCATGCTCTACCAAGTCTTCATCAGTTTCTCAAATCGATAAGTGGCGTGCATAGGGAGAATAAAAAGATAACCTTTTTGCTGTATCCTTTTCAACACCAATACACGACAATTGCCATGCGTTTTCGCACTATACCCATCTTTGGTAATGACCTTGATATTGTGAAAATACCCCAAGGTGGGGCTTGCTGAATCACATTTGTCGATTTTTTTGTTTAAATCAAAGTGTATTACCTAATTGTGATCTTAAATATCCCGTCTTTGATTTTGCCGCCAAGGTGGCAAGCAATGAACCGTGTTTGTTTCGCTGTGATCAGTCGTTTTTGTTTTTTATTTCACATACATGAAATATGTGAACCACTTCATTTTACTCTCGAACGTTAATCGGGGGCAATCACGTAAACATTGCTTAGGAAATCGGTCTTTGAGGGAAAATAAAATAAAATTCCCGAGATGATGTCCGTTCGCTTTCATGTATAATATATATATATATCTTTTGCGCGCGCTGAGGTCGGTGAGAGAAATCCTAAGCTCGTAAGTGTCGTTCTGGCTCAAAACGATGGAGATATGATTTTGTTTCTGCCGCATCTTTTGATCACACAGGAAGCCTGGTGAATGTTTGACAGACTCTTTTACAAAGTCTAAGAAAGTCGCTTTAGGAGATTTGTAGAAGATAAGGCATTGTCTAGACATTCAGATAAAACAAGTCAAGTGACTTTGGCCGTCTGTTCTCTAAAAAACCGGCCGGTAAAGGCAAGACGCCAGTGAACTTACGTTGTTTTCTTCACACCGATGTTCTTAGCGCTGTCGCGGGAGGTATTACAAAACAATAGACAATTCTTTTGGCGGCAAAAATTCAGCAAACAATCTGTTTGCATAACGCATTTCAACTAGCAGACAAAAATGTGCGAAATTACAAAATGACGCCCCGATACTACGTGATGGATTTCCGTTACCAGCGGGTTAGCCAGTGTCAATCAAAATACCACCTGCATTCTCTCAAACGCCCTGCCTAAAACGTCGAACTAAAAACGCATTTGAAGCATAACGTTTCAGTGATCGAATTTATTTCAGTTTCGCCCAGAGAGCGTTCAATTCGCTGTGTCATCGCCGTTAATAAGAACGCTTATGCGAGTGGCTGTTAATAATTGGCCATCAAAGAAAATCATTTGTGATACGATCTGACAAATGGTTTAATTTACAATCAACAGAAACAATATCTATCTGTTTACTTCATCGCTTACAGAGAGCTACGGGGCATAAAGGTCGTGTTTAGTCATCTTGAAAGTTTATCCACTGGAGACTCGGAGAAAAGAAGACAACTGACCTTCGACAAGAGTGCAGATTTGTACGGCATCAAATGAGGTTCAAAATGACAGAATGCGGCACGAGTGTTTTGCGGTTGTTGTTGCTGGCGTTCGTTCTACATTTGCTATTACGAGTGGAGATGGTGACTGGTAACAGCGCAATTCTAAAGGCCATAAAAGCCGCTGAAGCTATAGAGGAAAAGCACAGTTCAAACTGCGCTTCGACCCGTCGTGTTAAACGCCACGATCACGCTCGCTTTCCACAATCACCACCAATTGGATCTCAGTTTGGAAAGGCTTTGCGTTTCTTCGGTGGCGAAGTGGTCCGATTTGCTGGAGCTGTCACCATACCATCACACCAGTTCACCATAGACTTTTGGATGAAGCCCGAAGGTGGCCAGGCATCTCCTGTCACTGTGATCGGTCTTTTTGACGACTGCTCGCCGGACTCAAAAGAAGGAGGCTGGGAAATAGGACTTCAAGAAGCGAGCGCCGAGCGAAGCTTGAGAGTTTTCTTTCGACTACAAACGCAGCGATCACATCACGACACGAAACTGTCTTCTCCGCGCAGCGTGGAACCAAATGTATGGGTTCATGTTGCTGCTACGTTCAGTGGCAAGGAAATGAAATTATACATCAATCAAGCCAAAGTGGGGGTTTCTTCCGAGCAAAAAGGGCACATTTTCGCGGATGGCTTCGACGTGTGTGAGCATTTGGAAGCGGGGGGAGATCGCTCGTCTGGAGTGTTTTATCGCGGCCTGATCGACGAGGTGCGATTGTGGTCAGTTGCGAAATCACATAAAGAAATCAGCACGAATGTTTTCGACCCCATCACGGGTGTTGAGCCATACTTTGATGACCACCTTGAAATGTACGAAAGTTTCGCGGGATCCGAAGAACTCAATCGCAATCCGAAAACCACATGGGTTGTAGTCACTGCAAATGAAGAAAAGAAACCGGAAATCACTAAGTCAACAATTCCAGGCGATGCCCACGATCTTTCAATCGTGAAGCCCCCCTGTGGCAGTACAGTTTGCGATAATCCAGAGATCATTCGAAGTTATGTGAAAAATACGCACTTGCGAGGCAGAAAGGTCGTGCACTATCGTGTTGTCAACATACGAGATGACGACGGCACTAACCCCATGGTGACCAAGAAACAAATGAAAACCCAACACGATCAGCTCAACGAAGCCTTCAAACATTACAACATCACATTTGAGCTGAAAGAACTGAACATACGAAACACTTCCTTGAGGCGACGCACTGTCACCTACATGTGCGAGGCAGGAAAAGTCGGTGACGGAATGTGCAATGACGAACATTGCAGGCACGACATTACAGGAAATGATGGAGGCGACTGCGATGAATACCAAACAACATGTGAGCCGAAAAAGCGCGGGAACGGAGTGTGCGACCCAGAATGCAACAGGCATTACAATGCGTGGGATCTTGGCGACTGTTGCAACAAGAGCGTCACAGACGTATATAAGACCTGTTTTGATCCTAAATCTCCAAACAGAGCGTACATGAGCGAGAGAGAATACAAGACTCTGGTGAATTTGACCAATCAAGATTTCTTGAACGTTTATTTAGCTCAATGGAGTAATAATAACCTACTGGGCGTGGCAACGTTTCCCTGGGAGAAAACCGTACACAGTATTTACGGTGGGACCATCTTGGGTTTGAAAAATTTTGGACGAAAACTACACTCGAACGCACTTGTGCACGAATTTGGACATGTGCTGGGCTTGTGGCACGTGCATCACGGTGTGACGGAAAAGGATTGCTCAGACGACTGTTTCGAAACTTTCCCGTCCCTTGAGTTAGGTGACCTGTGCTCTGACACAAATCCGACTCCAGCTAACAGCATGTGTAGGGATCCTACCGTCAATAACGCTATCATGACCTGCGGAGTTAAGAAATTTGTGAACACGCCTTTCAGAAACTACATGAGCTACGCTAACGACTCTTGTACAGACACTTTCACAGAGCAACAAGCGGCAAGAATGCACTGCTATATTGATCTGATGTACCAGTCATGGCAGGGAACAAAAACACCGCCTTCCTTCATTCCGCTCCCACCTCGCGTGACTTCTAAAGCGGAGAATAGCGTCAAACTGGCCTGGATTCCACCTTTGGGCACCGGAGGAGGAAACGCGATCAATGGCTGCCACGAGTGCCGCGAAGACAGAGTGTTTCAGCAGTACGCAATTACAGCGGAATCTCCCAATCCAGTCAAGCCCAACGGCTATTGGGCTCCTCACCAGGCCATCGGAGCCCCAGACGCGGAGCCTTGTAACATGACACCCAAAGGCTGGGCCCCGTTCACGCCTCACAAGATGGACCACGGGGATTGCTACATCGAGTTTGGTTTCCAGGTGGCTGTTATTCCAACTAGTCTGACCTTGTGGGTGATATGGGCCTCCAAGGATGGAATTAGCAACATCCAGCTCATCTTCACCGATGGGTCAGAGCAGTCGCTAGGCAACGCTACAGCTCAGTGCGACGCCCCCCTGACGATGACATTGAGAGTCAGAAAGAGGGTCTCCAAGGTTCGAGTTCGCGTCAAGGACCCTTCAACTGTGATTGATGCTATCCAGCTAACATCATCTGTCAACCATCCTAACTGCCTCAAGTGTGAACCTGTGGAATACCTCGTGACTCGTGAGCCGTCCTTTCCAACTGGAAAGTCAGAGCGTGTAAAGACGACCCGATTTGAAGACAGGTGTGCTTCCAATTTTGTATCTAATAGCCTATTTTCGTGTAAGTAACATGTTGTTGCTGGTTTTTTTTTTATCTCGGTGAGTAACATGTCAACTTTCTCGTGTTGTGTTAAAGTTCCATATTCTCGGTCGCGATGTGATTACTTTTTATTTTCTACGTACCCCTGGATTTTCGTTTTGGTGCGATACAGCAACAGTAATTTGCACTTTAATAGGTCACTTTGACAAAAATACTCTAAATATCCTAAGATCTTTGCGTAAGAAGAACTTCTTTCAGTGCATATACAGAATCAAGTCCAATAAAATGTAACATTTATCGTGATAGACAATCCAAAAAAAACGTTATACTAGACTAAAAAGAAACAAGGATAGATAAAGACTGAGACAAGATCACCCTAGGTTTTGAGTTATTTTGGCCAGGCAAAAAATTACCTTTAAATTGAAGGAAACCTGAAAATAGTGGTTCACTGAGATAGTGAAACACCAAAGAGATGATAATAAACCATAAAGGAACAAGGATGGTTAAGGATGGAGAAGATTGACACGGATTGCAAACGACAAATTTGATAAATTTAAGTTAAAGTTTTCGCAAATCGATAGGTAGCCCCTTTAAATTGTCACCAACTGTCTCCTTGCAGGTACTTGGAGCCTGGCAAACCATACACCTACACAGTCCAAGCTATAACAAGCCTGGGAGTGAAGGGTCCTCCATCACCACCGCTCCACTACTCACCCGAACAAGGTTTCTGTGGCGACGGTATAGTGGAGTACAGCATCGGAGAAGAGTGCGACGATGGTAATGTACGAGATAGTGACGGCTGTAACATGCAGTGCAAGAAAGAGGACGTTTTTCATTGTACAGGTGCGTTAGGTGATCGTAGTAGAATTTCTCCTTACTCAAAGCTCGATAGAAGGTGTCAGGGACAAGTAGATTTTCCTCCTGGGCAAGTAACTTTTCATTCTCACTTGTTGGATGGATGGAAAGATGGATGGGAAAGGGCTGCCAACTTCATCAATAAAAAAAAGTTAAAAAAGGCTTGCCCAGGGCAAGCAAATTTGAGATGCTGCTTGTCCAAAGGGAAAGCTGGAATAAGTGTTTTTGCGAGCCCTGCTTGCTGTATCGGTATTGTCTTGATGAAGGCCCAAACTCTCATAAGCAGCGCAGGTGTAACATTAGGCGATTAGTAAAGAGAATTTAGACTGAATATTTCGCATTTGGATGTCTACGGGTCCTAATTTCATTCGTCGCGGAAGCATTTTGTTGTCTACAAAATCAAACCTTTGCATGGCCTTTGTGATTTTGTATCTGTTTTCTTAAGCCGCTCAAATCCGCCCTTAAAATAGCCGCCCGTGGGTCTTAAAGAAAAGACTTGATCTTGAAGTATTACCGGAAATGAGGAGATGTTCTGAGCAAGGTATGTGAGTTTACCAATTCAATCTCACAATTCGCAGCTAAGGAATGATTTCAAATTGTGAACTTTGGTCCAAAAATGCCTGCAGTAATGGCCTTTAATTAGGAGCTACCTAGTCCATAAATTACAATATTTGAACGATTTGCCCGCGGGTACGGCGAGAGATTATCTAAACATACGGAGCATGTTGGCTGGGTGGATAAGCTCTGGAGAATGCTTTGAAATGTCCGCCTCATGTGTTTTGCCTTAATCACGTATTTCCGTTGTGAGAAAAAAATAACACTTGAAATGGACTCGTAGTTGTTTACTGTCTCACCAGGAAGTGATGACGAGTTATTAATCTCGTACCGAATAAAGAAATTTTGTACGAGGTGGGTTGTGACGCAAAGCACGATTTTTGAACAGCGAAAAGCCACTCTCACTCACTCACTCAATCCCGGTATGCCATAGTGGCACCGGAGGCCTTAGAGAAAAGCGATGCAGTTGAGAATCGCGTTAATTTTCAGAGGATAGTGTGATGGATCACGTTGCCCTATCTGCAAAATTAATATTCTAACTAGTAAGCACATCCTATCAATTCACCAGAGACTGACTTACACTGTAGTTGACCCTACTATCCAGACATTTATAGCAAAGGTCTTGAGCAAACCCGACTTGCCATCTTATTTCACGCTCCTTAAAAAAACTGTTACCCCACTTAGGTCTAAGTACATTCTAACATTCTTTGGTGAGCTTTTTCTCCCTGGTTCAAAATTGCACTGTTTGTTGTAGATCGATGGTCACCAGAAAGGAAAAAGCTTCAAGCATCTACTATCTCGGTTGTTTTGCCAGGCTAGATTCCTGGGAATTTCCGATGTTCGGTGTTCTTTTTATGGCTCCATAAGATAACAAACTATTTTCAGAAGTAGCACGACTCACGACACTTCCTTTAAACTGATACTTCATGCTCAATTACAGTGAACGCAACTTCACGGTCGCTCTATCGATGCCAAAATATCATGACCATTGAACAGACAGACCTTCGTGCAGCGAGCGAATAAATGAGCGTTTTGCATGTTTTACAATGTTTATTTTGTTTACGCACACAATCATTTTAACCAAGATCTGTCTGCCTATGCGGCGCGAACAGGAAGTTCTGCAACTGTGTGTCGCCACCACGCTAAGGACATGTCAGTATATCTTCGACAATCGTAACCTCAGGAAGCAGACAGTTTTCATGTCGCCAGGTGTGATGAAGGGAACAAATGCACCGATTTTCCTCGCTCAGACAATCGGGCATATCCGGTAAAATGCGCTGTGTATTTTGAGTGCAATATAGTGTTCGTTGTCATCGTCCACGATCTTAGCTTTTACTTGAGTAAGCGAGTCAATACTAAAACAAATAAACCTGCTGGATTAAAAACTTCACATGCGTCTTAGGGGACTCTAAGCCTTTTACGTAAAAGCTTAAGCGGCTTACAGCGGTTTTGGAAGTAATAAGCCTGGTAAATGTACAGGTGAGACATAAAAACTACTTAATCACCGAAAAAAGAATTCATAATCTCTCTTCACTGGGAAATCTTAATCCTTCACTTTCTTTGACATCAATTGTGTTTTTCTTTGCATCCGTGTAACCTTTATGTCTATGAAATGGAACTTAGAATCTCTCTTACAATGTCTCACCCAAAACACGATTAAACTTGTCCTGAAGCTTGAATGATCCAAAACTGCGCGGAATTTGCGCAAAGATGTTGAGGGTAGTTTTAAGTCAGTCTTAATTCCATGAATAGAGTTATCTGTCAGCAATGATTCTGGAGGCGATTTGTGGTACACCAGCCTCTTAAAAGGACTGGCTCGTCGCATGACGTACCGTGTAAGTTGTTAGTGATAAGTGACTTGTTGCATTCCGTTAATTCGTTTTTGTTCTGATGCTGTTGGCCGGCTTAATTTTATTCAAGTTAGCTGTCACGATATTAGGTTATATTGTACATACAGAAATCGTTCGTTCGCGACATCTTGAAAAAACTTATACTTACCTTAACTACAAACCGCAAAATTGGTAAAATCCGCTCTAAAACTTAACTCGAAGATAGGGTATTCTCTAAACGTTAGCAGGGGCGCGTATTGTAAATAGAGGGCGCATGTCATTGAGGCGACAGAAAGCACGAGTTATCTTTCACACGTTGCCAACTACTTACGACGCACCACTGACACTTGCACGAAGTCGCAGTGATTTTATTTGACTTTGATCAAGATAAAATTTGCATGGTCTCTCACTATCTAGCCACCCAGCGGAAGCAGATGAGTGTGGTAAGAAGCCGACCTGTAGAAATGGTCTTTTGCACGGCAACATTTGACGTACATTTCGTATTTGTCCGGACACCCAACCTACTCTGTATCCAAGTTCATTTTGGAAAACTTGTGAATGTTTGCAGTTTTATTTATTTATTTATTTATTTGTTTGTTTGTTTGTTCTTTCAGGTCACCCAAGTTTGTGCTACCGCCACGAAGGAGACGGAAAATGCGAGGAGTTTGAGAAAAAAACCAACATCAAAGACTGCGGATTCTATACACCCGAAGGTTTTGAAGATCAGTGGGCTGTGAACGTGACCGTAAACTCGAACTTCCGTGACAAAAAGTGCCCTGAAAGCGTGGTCCTGGGACCGCCACCACTTGACCTGGTAAAGTGAATACTGCTAGCCTTCAATAAGAAACTAATTAAAATACGAGTAGACTGTTCACAGTCCCCTATTTTTCCGTGAGATCACAGATGTCGATCGTTGAGTTCGACGGACCGCCATCTTGGTCTGATGATGCGAGTGAAACTGGGGAGAGTCCAAAATGAGGCCTCCACCTTGCCTCCACCTACCCACGGGCACTTTGTACTCTCCCCCAGTTTCGCTCGCATCAAGAGACCAAGATGGCGGTCCGCCGAACTCAACCATCACTAATTAAAACTCGAAGATAAAACACGACGAATGCCAATCATTCAATGCGTTCAAAGTTCCCCTTTGAATAGTCGTGTGTTCATATGGAGTTGTGGGCAACTAGGGAGGTACATCTCGACTGTCAAAAACTTTTACGAATGAAACGAAGAAGTGACCATTGACCGCAAAAAGGTTTCCGGGCTTTAATAGGATCCCGTTGAATCCCTGAAACCTTTTTTCAGGGCCAGTCCGTGACTGTTTAAATTGCGATTACAACTGTTATGGTTATATCTGCATTTCATTTGTATTATCCGCAGCTCACATCGTTGTCGTTAGAGAAATATTTACGTTGCTTATTACATTTTCCTTGCACAGGTTTGCCAATCCTCTTTTGACGAGGCCCACGCGTGGAGTCCCTGCAAGCACAAGTATACGGACAACAATTACTGGCTAGAGGTCACGTTCAATCGTTCTGTCTTGCCTGCAGCAGTTGTTCTTTATATCGGCTCCGATGGCAAAACAAGTATCAGTCCTTTCGTCAAGACTGTCAAAGTTGAGCTTATTGACAAAACCGGCCGCATCATCCCCGCGGGCAACAAGGAAACGAAGCTTTCATGTAAGACTAACCCAAGTGTCATCCCTGTCCTGCACGACATGACAGAGCCATTCTTCTACGTCCGTAAAGTGCGCGTCAGCTTTAAGTCTTACCTTATCAGCGTAGCAGCCGTGGCTCTCCGATCCAGGGCGCGCTTTGATGTTGTGGAAATGTCCAAGTGTAAACCGGACGAAGTGTTCAGTCCCCGAACCCAGCACTGCCATAAATACACGTGTGAGAGGCCATCTTGTCAGGAGCCCTTGATCAAACATGGTACGGTCAAATGCGAGGGTACTGAGGAAGGACAGACTTGTATGGTGACTTGCAGGCCGGGATATCGACCACTGAAACCCTTCAAGATGATTTGTTTCAACAAGGATTGGGAAGGGATCAACACATCCTGTGTGCCAGTCAGTTGCGGCGTCCCAAGAATTCCTCATGGAAAAGCCGGTATGTAAACTCACAGTATGTCATAGGCCCGCAATGCGTGAACATAATTAGTACAACTATATAGCTGGTTAATGATATATGTAGACGAGCCTTGTAATCCGAGCGAAGATTATAATCAAAATTCTCCTACCGTTTTCAAAAAACGTCTTAGTACTTGTAATGAGAATTAATTTTTTTTTTATTTTTGTAATACGTTTTTCTCTGAGATAATCAGATTCCGTATCTCCACGACTTTTCCGCTTGATTTTCCTATAAAAGAAAAGTTAGGATTCCGTTACTGCTGGTCTAAGTTAAAATTTCTGTTCCTGAATCAAGTAATTTTGTTTTATACCGTTAGCATCGAGTAGAAGCAGTGATTTCCAGTTTTCGTCGTCATAATTACCTCGCTCTTTTACTCTGGCTGGAAAAGGCCCTCTCTCGCATCTACATCCATTTGATACTTAAGTCCAAGTCCATGTATTTCTAGATTGTCCACAGGGTCTCACGTTCGGCAAGAAGTGCTCTCTGAGGTGTGCACCTGGAGCCAAAATGAGCGGGGGCGAAGGCAGTGTCACGTGCGAAGAGGATGGAAAATGGTCTGCACAGAGCGCCTTCTGCGTTATGACCTGTCCGAACCCTGAGATACCAGACCACAGCGTACCACTTGCTGAGAGCAACTGCATCGACAGCAAGAGGACATTCTCACCAGGCGTGTCCTGTAAATTCCGGTGCAAGCCTGGCTACAGAGTGAAAGATAGAGACGACCCTGTTCGTAGGATCTTGAAAAAACGTTGTACCAAGAGTGGTCGGTGGACTCAACCTAGATGTGAACCAATAATTTGCCAGGAGCTGACGCCGAACCTTCTCATGTGGTACAACTGCTCCGATGGCAATTCCCTCGGTAGTGTTTGTACGAATAATTGTCCAGGAGAGGAGGTTTGTGTCATGTTTCTTCTTTTTAATTGCTGTGTTTGATAATATTGGATCGTTTAGCCAAACATATATGTCAAACATATTTAAAAAAATTAGCCAAACATATATTCGAGAAGAGCGCTTTAGCAATCTAAAGAAAATTACCATTTTAATCAGTCACGCATTAATTAATCAGACCAAACTATTGGCATACACTAGATTCTCCGCCCTCTCGAATGTTTTTTTTTCGTTTCCCTTGAGAGTGTGAGATAACTGGGCTCAACTTTAAGTAGCAAAAGCAATTCGAAAGCTCTCGTTTTATATTACTAAACTTTGGTCTACTTTGTGACTGGTTTTACAAATACATGTTTCCTGCTTAGTACTCAGCCATACAGTTTGAAAGCTAAAGGCAATCAACACTTGGTCTCACCCAGTTTCCCAAGGCTGGCGTCACTTATGTTTGCTTCGTGTTCTTACAGGTTCAATCATTGTGTAGTTTGTATTTTTTAGTGCCTGGACCTTTGCTTTGTATTTGGTACTACGACACGAAATTTGGTGTCAAACACTCTCTCGTGTTTGATATATTATCTGGTCTATCTCCTTTAGTTTTGATAACTAAAGCTCTATTCCGCTTTCACCGTCTCATCTCTAGATTCACCAAGTCAAGTGCGAAGAAGATGGGCAATGGACTGAACCGTTGAAGCGTTGCACTTCTGATAAAGCTGGTCGCTGCTCCAGGCCTGAAGCCTCACGTGGTGTCATTTTATTCTGCGAGGATTACTTTCCTGGTGGAATATGCAAAGCTCAATGCAAAAGCCCCGGATATGATGTTGTTGAACTTGTAAGTGTCAAACCTCTGTTTTGCAATCCAAACTCGATTAATGGTTGTTCTATAAAGGATTTAAAGTTGACACATTTTTCTGTCGATCTTTCCACCTCGTGCATCAGTTGCTGAAAATTCATCCCAAGTTTCGTTTACACGATATTCTGCTGGAACCTACGGGACCCTCACAATGTGTCCTCGTGGCAATTAATTTCATCGTTGCTTGTTCAAATGTATTTTGTTGTTTGCAAAGGCTACAAAACTATTTTTCACCATTTCTGTAGAACAACTTATTCTTCTTCTTGAAACCAAGGAAATATCGAAATTTGGCGAGCAACTCCCGCTTTTGACTTCATTGTATCTCACATTAAGACAGCTGCCACTTTGATAAGTTACATTGTAGGGTAGGCTTGCTTTGTCAACCGAGTATTCCATCAAGAAATTACTTTTTTTCGGATTGTTCATTTTACAGGGAAACGAGGACAAGTGGCGCGTGATCATCACGTGCACTCAGACTCAGAAACTTGAATGGCATCCAGACCCCGCCAAATTGCAATGTATACCCGGTTGCAGGAAAGCTGAAATCGATGATGGACTGTGTGATTCCATTAACAACAACAAACACTGCCGGTGGGACGGCGGAGACTGCTGTCCCTCTACCACCAAGAACAGGATCGTCCGTACATGGCCAAATGATTGTAAATCGGAGTGCGCGTGTAAAGACCCCGACGCGAAAGAAAACGAAGGCTCACGAACTGGAGGAGCCAGCGGGGTGGATGATGAAGACGATGAAGACGATGGCGAAAAGTCTGAAGGAAGCGGCTCAGACGAAACGATGAAAATAACAGATTCATAAAAAAAGATACTAAAATCAAGAGATCAGGCTTTTAAGACAAAAATGAAGACTACAGAAGGCGGTTGGTAAATGAGGGACTTTATAGTTTGATAGTGCAATGGCACTTTTTTCTGGAAAAAGGAATGCAAAAGCAAGGAGACACGAAAGGTTTAGTCTGGGTAAGGCTTTAGGGATTCTGTGAAACTTAAGCATTGCTATAGGATTCCTAGTTTTCGTGATTTACTTCAAGGTGATCGTTTTGTTTACTTGAAACATATACATATTTGTGGGTGTTTGGGGATGGGGTTAGGAAATTAGTAGAGTGACGCAGACACTCGTGGAAGAATCAAATTTTAAAACGCGGGCGTTTAAATACATTCGTTTAAAATGACATAGCGGTTTCTTGTGACTGTCGTAAAGCCATAGCAAAAGCCCAACGTAAGTAAAGCAAAGAGCAAAAGATCCTCTCTATCAAAGCGAGGCCTGGCGTACAGCCACTCATGTGAAAATGAGTTTAATTTGCATGTGAATGAAATCTCATTTTCATAGTACTATAAAAGGATGGGCACCAAGACTCGCTTTGAGAAAGAGGCTAAAGGTAATTCGGAAATGGCCTATTCGGGATCGACTATGTGTTTCGGTTCCGTTCAGTCGTGACCATGGGTTGAAAAAAAGAGATTTTTGGTTAGGAATTCGAACTGTGCGACACGCGTTTTTTTTCTTGCCTATTACGCTCGACAGTCATTTTGAAATCGCTCTCTTTGATATATAGAGCAGTTTTCAATTAAGTATCGTAAAACCAAAACCAAACCAATTACTTACCAATTAGACTACTCAGCCAATCTCAAACCGTAGTAAGACTAGTAAAACCAAAACCAAAGTAACTGCATGATTACTTTCGTCACTTAACTGAAAACCGCTCAAACAACAAGTGTTATTGGTTTTTATTATATTCGTCAGTCGATTAATTAATGCGCTAATTTCATAACACATCGACAACAACGGGTTTACAAAAACTCTAGTGCTTGAAGGATCTCGTAGACGTTCTCGTCCAGTTTGCAGCGGTGCTGGATCGACTAAGTTAACTTTGCGTAAATGGTGCCTAAATTGGAATAACAATACTTTATGCATCCTAAGTCTCGTATTAATGTTTCCAGACAAAGGATTTTTCACATGAACGTGAGATTTAGGCGCATTGGTATTGTTGTTCAAATATCGGGGCCATTTATGTGAAGTGTCCATTAACGAAAAAAACTTTGAAGAAATACTAGGTTGCTTCCCTCCCACTCCGCCCCTTTGAACGTCTTAAAGAGGGGGGTGGGGTGGGATGATGTCGTGTTCCTTTCTTCTGACGACTTTTGGGTTATAGTAGGAGTTGGATCGATACACTTCCTATATTTGGTTAAAGATTGAATCTGCTTTCGTCTCTTATTGGCGTCGTTAGGCGTTTTTTCTGCAGCGCTGCAGAGAGGGGAAATTATAGTTATTTCTTTTTGATAATCTCCCTATTATTCAGGAAATATGGGATGTGATAATGTAGATGAGGCGTCCTAGAGTTCTGTTTTTTTTTTATGCGTTTTTCTTACCAGTAAGTTTTGATCGATACATTATCGGTACAGATTTTTTAAGTCTTCTTATCTGAGGGGAGGGAGTTATCACGTAGTGCGTATATATAATTGGTATCCATCTTCATCCAAGCTTATCCAACTGAACTACTGCAAGCCATGCATCATTCTGCCTCTGGGTTGTGTATATTGTAAAACAAATGAAGTCATTTTTGACCCGTCACTTTAGCCAACTGAACTTGTCACGCTGATATCTACCTACCTGAGCCCTTTAATTTTTATCCTGACCTATGCAAACTACGACAACCCATGCACCTGTGCGTAAACATTGTAGTTAATTTTGAACACGGCTTACCTATCAGGTTTACTCGATACTTGCAGTATCACGATAAGTGTATTTTAATAGCTTAGTTTCAAGTAGATTATGCATCAGAGGAAGACAACACTAGAGGATCAAATATTTGAAAACTGTAATATTTGACATTTCCTTTTATCTTAACAGTAAGCGTTTCACCCATTGAATGTCGTGATAAATTAAAATAAACTATTTATTCAACTTCATACTTTGTTTATTATATATATTATTATATCCATGATATTTTTTGAAATAAATCAATGCATACATCTGTTTAGTTTTGATCTGTTGCTTTGTCATAATTGAGAGATGGCTCAAGAACATATGGCTTATCAGTATGGCTAGTTGCGCGAGCGGGCAAGATGCGGGATTGCCCGCTATTTCCAGCAATCCAATAAATTTCTTTATTTACCAAGCTTTTTCGGTCAAAATGCTGGCATTTTTTTTGTTTGTTTCTGCCTGACAAGGGACTTCGGTTACGTCTCGGTCTTCATATGAAAAAGAACTTCCTTTGTGTCGAGTCATCTTGAGCTTAGGTTTGGTCAGCTGCATGCTACAGATTGCCGTTATACGCCCTTAGGAGCTCTTGATTACAGGAAATGATTGCGTGATTATGCTTTTCACGTCAGTTGTACGTTCTAAATTACAGCTTGTAACTTTGAGAACGAACCCTGAACCTCAAGTTTCGCATACCACTTAACACTAGTTCCAGCTTGGGTCAAAGAAGGTCGAGGGACCTTCGCTTATTCACAGCTCACGTACGTATCAGAACCGAATGCGCATGGAAAACCTTGTGTGCGGCTGGAATAGCCTGTGTAGCAAACGTTTTTTGTTGGAAAGGGCGAACGAGCCGAAAGCTGGCTAATACTGAAAACGATCTTCGATTCTATTATTACTTCCAGCATGTCTAGAAGATTTGCCGTCTTAATTATAACTCACTTCAAGTGAGAAATACTCGAGGAAAAGTAGGTTATGTACACAGGTGCCTATTGATTGATTCTCGTCACCAATTTCGGCATAGTCGGGAAAAATAAAACAAAACAAAACAGGGGAAAATCCTTCCACATTCGCGTCTAGAGTGACGTCAATCGATCGCGGGAGCGCTGAGAATGGCTTGATTCTCGTCCCCAAATTTGCTTGCTCCCTTGAGTACGGGTATATTCTTTTTCTGAGGTTTAAATACTAGACATGTGTGTTAAAGGATTAATTAATCAATTTAGATCGGTCTTCAGTTGAGTGTCGTAAAACCTAAACCAAACCTATTGCCAGTACAAATTAGACTACCCAGCCAATCCCAAACCGTCCTAAAACCTAAACGAAAACCAAAGTAATTGCCTGATTCCCATGGCCTCCCGATCTCTTAGTATCTTCTTCATTCGAGCAGGAAAGGTCCCATTTTCATTCCGCTCCACCTATTTTCACTAAAAGGACACCTTAAATTTGTTTAACTATACTGAAGACATCAGGCTGTGACTGACGAAATATTTGAAAGTCGTCAAATTTCGTCGATTCAACCCCGGGAGGCCTATGCTTTGGTCTGGGCTCCTGGTAAGGGTTATAAGAAACGGGGCAATCACTCTGGAGTTTGAGTGCGAAAGGATCTCTGGGAATTCAATCGTGACAGGTGTTTCGGCGTTAAATGAGTCCGCAGTGAAATGACTCTGTACAGCGGTATGATGATCTAACATGGCGCCGATCCTTGGGTCGGTGCCCCAAGTTTTACGGTAAGAGTTTACTACTTTACGATTCAATTGTCACAGTTAATATCTGCCCGAATAAAGTTTACATATTAATGGTTTTATTTTATCGCTTATTTTATCAACAGGCAAGCGGAAACTTTGAAAGCCGCTTTGAAAAGTAAGTTGTTTATGCAAGCGAAAAAAAATTTTTTTTCCTATTTTGTTTTCCTTTTAACTTATAGCAAATTAATGTAACCTTGATGGAATACTTTTTTTAATCCATACAGTAAGCTTATATGGTTTTGGTATCCATCAGCGAGCGTATTCCAACACTTGGAACGTAAATTTAATGTTATTCATATTCAATACTTTAAATTCAGTTTGTTCCGAAAAGTCCCATTGTACGCTTACTTTAATTTTGAGCAGTGACCTTTCTGGTCTTAAGTTCTTAGCTTACAATTTAAGCGTCAAAAACAATTAAACATACAAGGGTCATCTAAAACGATGGTATCATTTGTTGTGTTTACAACACTTTGTTAATCCAGTCTCACCAAAGCAAATATAATTGCCTTAAAATAGCTCTGTTATTTAGCATGAACATAGAATGAAAAAGTGATTAAACATAAATTCAATTTCTTTAGGTAGCTTTGAAGATTTCTCTGTTGGCAGTGAAGGATGGCAGTCCAGACAAAGGTAATTAGCTAATTGAGTATTATTTTATAAATAGCATAAATGAATGGAGCCAAACTTTGCAGCTATAAAGCCAAAGTGCAGACTAGTGAGGTAGTCTTCTGAGGGATATATTTCTGAGAAAATGTATTTCAGGAGCGTAAAGTAATGTCCAGTTATTTTTTTGTGCTTTAAAAAAATGTGGAGTCTTTCTAATCACAATTTACAGACCTATCTGCCATTCAAGGACTCAATGATTTCAAATGTTGGAATAAAGCCAAGTAGTAGTATTGTTGTTGGGAAACAATTGAATCAAGTTGCATGTGGGTACAAAGCGTGGGGTAAAAATTATGTTGGTGAACCAGCAGAATTTTGTATTATAATGACAAGGTTGTGCCGTCACTATTTTCCAGACTACAGGATTTGTACAAGAGTATCCTATTAACAGATCTTGAGTCTGCATTAGACAAGAAAGTTGAACAAGATTTGTAAGTATTTAAATCTTTTTGTGATGTTTGATGTCAAATGTGTAGTTATTAGTTTTAATTAAAGTTAAAGCCATTTTGCATGTTGTAACATGTTACAAACTGTTTGTCATGAGGACTATCAGTATTTTTCACACGTGACTGGGAACCATGTCAAGCCAATAAAAGCAAGCCGGACATTTATTCTCATGAAAACAACTTTACAAGAAACCTGCGTAGTATAGAAAGCAAAAATTCAAAATACTGTGCATCACTAAAAATCTGAAAATCATACCAGAACTGACATGAACAATAGTCTCAGGGTGCACGAGTTAGAAGGTCAGACAATGGAGAACAACAACTGGAACAATAGACTATATTTGTATTGTTGGTATATACTATTGGATTGTAACTAGCTGGGAGTGGAGGCCCATGTAGGGGAATGTCATTAAAAAGAGATAAATGTCGTTTACATTTGAAGAAACTCACAGCTTTAGCCTCAGTTTCAAGCTACAATCGTGGACAAAAGTCCCTGGAACCCTTACGTAATTAAACAAATTGTATGTGTTTTACTACTGAAGTTTGAAAACATGTTACTGTTCCCCCTCCCCACCCAATTCAATGTTGAAAATCAGAAGAAATTGCAGGTAGTAGTTTTCAACATTGTATGGTGGTGGGGGGCGAGGTTAGGCAGGTGAAGTTGTATTCACATCTGGTGTGTGTGTAAAAGCACCAAAAATGCAAATTTGTCCCAAGACTTTTGTCCATGATTGCAGTTCCAGTCCAATATGGAGAACACAAATATGGTCTATTGCACGGCTTTCATGTCACTTGAACTTTATCCTAGCCCCTAAGCAGTTAGTATTGTGTGAGAAAACCATTTACACTTAATATTCTGTTTCACGCACATAAAATTAATATGGAAAATTACCTCTAACTTTGCAGAAACAATTCAGAGGATCTGATATCGAATCTACAGTTAACGTATACATGTACGTTTTGAGCACCTTCAGAGGTGTCTTGTGTCTAAGCGATATAGTGAGTCTGGTTTAAACTAACGTTACCTAAACCTAGGCTATATCAAATTAATGCTTATAGAGCTGGCTATCACACTATACCAAGAAGTTTGAAATAAAATTAATTGTCAAATTTTTCAAGACCTCTAAATGTGAGTGGCTGTATCATCTTTTGGGTCCCTTTTGAAAGCTACAAGTCAAAGGGAATTTGTCTGTGTACCCTCAAATTTGGACAGTAGTTAGTTTGACATTTAAACAACAAAACTGTTTCTACAAATTTCTTATTTCCAAATATTTTTTCTCTGAGAGCAATTTTTCTACATATTTTTTTTATCCTATTTCGAAAAGGTTCTGTAACGTTTCACTGAAAATGAATATGGCAAATCCCAGACACCTTTTTTTCTAGTGCTTTGTGTCTGGAAACTGAGGGACAAATTAAATAAGCAAAAAACAAAATTCCTTTTGACTTGTAGCTTTTAGAAGGTGCTTCGGACGCTCGAATTTAGAAGTCGTAAAAAACTTGACAATTTATTTTATTTCAAACTTCTTGGTATAGTTTGATAGCCAGTTCCATAAGCTTAATTTGACATAGGGGTTTAGGTATCTACAGTATAACCTGGACATGCTACATTGCTTGGATGTGAAACACCTCTGAAGGTATATGGTAACCTTAAATAAACTATTTAATTTTTTTAGGTGGAATAGTGCTTTCAAAAGCCAGGTGGACTTTTTAAGGCAACAAACAAAAGACAGAAAGGTATTTTATTCTTATCCAGCTTGTGTTTGCATAGGCTTGAGTATCATGTACTCAAGCTTTTGAATCTCATATCTCGTAGGAAGCAATAAAATATAATTATTCTATAAATATCTGATTGTTTATTTTGGATTTGTCAGGTCTACTTACTTAAATATATGGTAACTTTCTAGGGCTCCAAAAAAGTGGAGGTTCAAGCTGTTTTGACTTTGTTTCTTGAAGCTGCCAGTGGTTTCTATATTCAGGTATATGTGGATTATCAGAATTTGAGTCGTTTAATTTTTTGCCTTATTAAAAAATACTCTGGGGTTGGAATTTTGAAATTGTAAAATGTTGTTATCAAAAGCTGGAGAAAATTACTATGAAGTCTTTGTTACTCATTCAAGTGGTGTTAATTGAATGTGCTTGTTTGGGATCTATAGCTGTTGCAGGAGTTGTGTTTGACGTACAGGCTAGACATCCCTGGCCATGTCAGGTCATCACAGCTNGTTAATTTTGAACACGGCTTACCTATCAGGTTTACTCGATACTTGCAGTATCACGATAAGTGTATTTTAATAGCTTAGTTTCAAGTAGATTATGCATCAGAGGAAGACAACACTAGAGGATCAAATATTTGAAAACTGTAATATTTGACATTTCCTTTTATCTTAACAGTAAGCGTTTCACCCATTGAATGTCGTGATAAATTAAAATAAACTATTTATTCAACTTCATACTTTGTTTATTATATATATTATTATATCCATGATATTTTTTGAAATAAATCAATGCATACATCTGTTTAGTTTTGATCTGTTGCTTTGTCATAATTGAGAGATGGCTCAAGAACATATGGCTTATCAGTATGGCTAGTTGCGCGAGCGGGCAAGATGCGGGATTGCCCGCTATTTCCAGCAATCCAATAAATTTCTTTATTTACCAAGCTTTTTCGGTCAAAATGCTGGCATTTTTTTTGTTTGTTTCTGCCTGACAAGGGACTTCGGTTACGTCTCGGTCTTCATATGAAAAAGAACTTCCTTTGTGTCGAGTCATCTTGAGCTTAGGTTTGGTCAGCTGCATGCTACAGATTGCCGTTATACGCCCTTAGGAGCTCTTGATTACAGGAAATGATTGCGTGATTATGCTTTTCACGTCAGTTGTACGTTCTAAATTACAGCTTGTAACTTTGAGAACGAACCCTGAACCTCAAGTTTCGCATACCACTTAACACTAGTTCCAGCTTGGGTCAAAGAAGGTCGAGGGACCTTCGCTTATTCACAGCTCACGTACGTATCAGAACCGAATGCGCATGGAAAACCTTGTGTGCGGCTGGAATAGCCTGTGTAGCAAACGTTTTTTGTTGGAAAGGGCGAACGAGCCGAAAGCTGGCTAATACTGAAAACGATCTTCGATTCTATTATTACTTCCAGCATGTCTAGAAGATTTGCCGTCTTAATTATAACTCACTTCAAGTGAGAAATACTCGAGGAAAAGTAGGTTATGTACACAGGTGCCTATTGATTGATTCTCGTCACCAATTTCGGCATAGTCGGGAAAAATAAAACAAAACAAAACAGGGGAAAATCCTTCCACATTCGCGTCTAGAGTGACGTCAATCGATCGCGGGAGCGCTGAGAATGGCTTGATTCTCGTCCCCAAATTTGCTTGCTCCCTTGAGTACGGGTATATTCTTTTTCTGAGGTTTAAATACTAGACATGTGTGTTAAAGGATTAATTAATCAATTTAGATCGGTCTTCAGTTGAGTGTCGTAAAACCTAAACCAAACCTATTGCCAGTACAAATTAGACTACCCAGCCAATCCCAAACCGTCCTAAAACCTAAACGAAAACCAAAGTAATTGCCTGATTCCCATGGCCTCCCGATCTCTTAGTATCTTCTTCATTCGAGCAGGAAAGGTCCCATTTTCATTCCGCTCCACCTATTTTCACTAAAAGGACACCTTAAATTTGTTTAACTATACTGAAGACATCAGGCTGTGACTGACGAAATATTTGAAAGTCGTCAAATTTCGTCGATTCAACCCCGGGAGGCCTATGCTTTGGTCTGGGCTCCTGGTAAGGGTTATAAGAAACGGGGCAATCACTCTGGAGTTTGAGTGCGAAAGGATCTCTGGGAATTCAATCGTGACAGGTGTTTCGGCGTTAAATGAGTCCGCAGTGAAATGACTCTGTACAGCGGTATGATGATCTAACATGGCGCCGATCCTTGGGTCGGTGCCCCAAGTTTTACGGTAAGAGTTTACTACTTTACGATTCAATTGTCACAGTTAATATCTGCCCGAATAAAGTTTACATATTAATGGTTTTATTTTATCGCTTATTTTATCAACAGGCAAGCGGAAACTTTGAAAGCCGCTTTGAAAAGTAAGTTGTTTATGCAAGCGAAAAAAAATTTTTTTTCCTATTTTGTTTTCCTTTTAACTTATAGCAAATTAATGTAACCTTGATGGAATACTTTTTTTAATCCATACAGTAAGCTTATATGGTTTTGGTATCCATCAGCGAGCGTATTCCAACACTTGGAACGTAAATTTAATGTTATTCATATTCAATACTTTAAATTCAGTTTGTTCCGAAAAGTCCCATTGTACGCTTACTTTAATTTTGAGCAGTGACCTTTCTGGTCTTAAGTTCTTAGCTTACAATTTAAGCGTCAAAAACAATTAAACATACAAGGGTCATCTAAAACGATGGTATCATTTGTTGTGTTTACAACACTTTGTTAATCCAGTCTCACCAAAGCAAATATAATTGCCTTAAAATAGCTCTGTTATTTAGCATGAACATAGAATGAAAAAGTGATTAAACATAAATTCAATTTCTTTAGGTAGCTTTGAAGATTTCTCTGTTGGCAGTGAAGGATGGCAGTCCAGACAAAGGTAATTAGCTAATTGAGTATTATTTTATAAATAGCATAAATGAATGGAGCCAAACTTTGCAGCTATAAAGCCAAAGTGCAGACTAGTGAGGTAGTCTTCTGAGGGATATATTTCTGAGAAAATGTATTTCAGGAGCGTAAAGTAATGTCCAGTTATTTTTTTGTGCTTTAAAAAAATGTGGAGTCTTTCTAATCACAATTTACAGACCTATCTGCCATTCAAGGACTCAATGATTTCAAATGTTGGAATAAAGCCAAGTAGTAGTATTGTTGTTGGGAAACAATTGAATCAAGTTGCATGTGGGTACAAAGCGTGGGGTAAAAATTATGTTGGTGAACCAGCAGAATTTTGTATTATAATGACAAGGTTGTGCCGTCACTATTTTCCAGACTACAGGATTTGTACAAGAGTATCCTATTAACAGATCTTGAGTCTGCATTAGACAAGAAAGTTGAACAAGATTTGTAAGTATTTAAATCTTTTTGTGATGTTTGATGTCAAATGTGTAGTTATTAGTTTTAATTAAAGTTAAAGCCATTTTGCATGTTGTAACATGTTACAAACTGTTTGTCATGAGGACTATCAGTATTTTTCACACGTGACTGGGAACCATGTCAAGCCAATAAAAGCAAGCCGGACATTTATTCTCATGAAAACAACTTTACAAGAAACCTGCGTAGTATAGAAAGCAAAAATTCAAAATACTGTGCATCACTAAAAATCTGAAAATCATACCAGAACTGACATGAACAATAGTCTCAGGGTGCACGAGTTAGAAGGTCAGACAATGGAGAACAACAACTGGAACAATAGACTATATTTGTATTGTTGGTATATACTATTGGATTGTAACTAGCTGGGAGTGGAGGCCCATGTAGGGGAATGTCATTAAAAAGAGATAAATGTCGTTTACATTTGAAGAAACTCACAGCTTTAGCCTCAGTTTCAAGCTACAATCGTGGACAAAAGTCCCTGGAACCCTTACGTAATTAAACAAATTGTATGTGTTTTACTACTGAAGTTTGAAAACATGTTACTGTTCCCCCTCCCCACCCAATTCAATGTTGAAAATCAGAAGAAATTGCAGGTAGTAGTTTTCAACATTGTATGGTGGTGGGGGGCGAGGTTAGGCAGGTGAAGTTGTATTCACATCTGGTGTGTGTGTAAAAGCACCAAAAGTGCAAATTTGTCCCAAGACTTTTGTCCATGATTGCAGTTCCAGTCCAATACGGAGAACACAAATATGGTCTATTGCACGGCTTTCATGTCACTTGAACTTTATCCTAGCCCCTAAGCAGTTAGTATTGTGTGAGAAAACCATTTACACTTAATATTCTGTTTCACGCACATAAAATTAATATGGAAAATTACCTCTAACTTTGCAGAAACAATTCAGAGGATCTGATATCGAATCTACAGTTAACGTATACATGTACGTTTTGAGCACCTTCAGAGGTGTCTTGTGTCTAAGCGATATAGTGAGTCTGGTTTAAACTAACGTTACCTAAACCTAGGCTATATCAAATTAATGCTTATAGAGCTGGCTATCACACTATACCAAGAAGTTTGAAATAAAATTAATTGTCAAATTTTTCAAGACCTCTAAATGTGAGTGGCTGTATCATCTTTTGGGTCCCTTTTGAAAGCTACAAGTCAAAGGGAATTTGTCTGTGTACCCTCAAATTTGGACAGTAGTTAGTTTGACATTTAAACAACAAAACTGTTTCTACAAATTTCTTATTTCCAAATATTTTTTCTCTGAGAGCAATTTTTCTACATATTTTTTTTATCCTATTTCGAAAAGGTTCTGTAACGTTTCACTGAAAATGAATATGGCAAATCCCAGACACCTTTTTTTCTAGTGCTTTGTGTCTGGAAACTGAGGGACAAATTAAATAAGCAAAAAACAAAATTCCTTTTGACTTGTAGCTTTTAGAAGGTGCTTCGGACGCTCGAATTTAGAAGTCGTAAAAAACTTGACAATTTATTTTATTTCAAACTTCTTGGTATAGTTTGATAGCCAGTTCCATAAGCTTAATTTGACATAGGGGTTTAGGTATCTACAGTATAACCTGGACATGCTACATTGCTTGGATGTGAAACACCTCTGAAGGTATATGGTAACCTTAAATAAACTATTTAATTTTTTTAGGTGGAATAGTGCTTTCAAAAGCCAGGTGGACTTTTTAAGGCAACAAACAAAAGACAGAAAGGTATTTTATTCTTATCCAGCTTGTGTTTGCATAGGCTTGAGTATCATGTACTCAAGCTTTTGAATCTCATATCTCGTAGGAAGCAATAAAATATAATTATTCTATAAATATCTGATTGTTTATTTTGGATTTGTCAGGTCTACTTACTTAAATATATGGTAACTTTCTAGGGCTCCAAAAAAGTGGAGGTTCAAGCTGTTTTGACTTTGTTTCTTGAAGCTGCCAGTGGTTTCTATATTCAGGTATATGTGGATTATCAGAATTTGAGTCGTTTAATTTTTTGCCTTATTAAAAAATACTCTGGGGTTGGAATTTTGAAATTGTAAAATGTTGTTATCAAAAGCTGGAGAAAATTACTATGAAGTCTTTGTTACTCATTCAAGTGGTGTTAATTGAATGTGCTTGTTTGGGATCTATAGCTGTTGCAGGAGTTGTGTTTGACGTACAGGCTAGACATCCCTGGCCATGTCAGGTCATCACAGCTGGGTATTCTTGAAGGTAGGTACTTGAAGAATGATAATATTTTGAATTGCCAGTGTCATGATAAAGTTTCACGTATGGCTTTGATTGACACTGGAATGCATTTAACCAATAGAAACCTGTGATCATTTGCATTTTTCTTGTGCTGCATTATAGTAATGTTTTGTTTTTAAAAGCATCATTTCCTCCACCTTTGACTCTTTGTATGGAACATGCCGCCTCATCATATACCTTCTTTTTGAGGACATCAGATTTCAATATATTCTTAAAGAATGTTTGAAAGAAAATGTCTCGTATACAGTATTTAGTATTTAACAACAATATTCTAACTTGCAAACTACTTGGTAGTGCAAATTTAAATGCATATTACCAAGACTAAAATATTTCAGATTTCTTTTCTCCAGTGACTGTTTTTGTCCATGGAGGGTCAGTAAGGGACCTTAAAATACTTAAGGACATTTGTGCTAATTGTGTCTGCGCATCCTTACTGCACACGCAAATTCACATGCACGTCATGCATGAGAGCGTGCGCTAAGTAATAAAATGAACAATGATAGGGCAGGTGGCCATTGCTATAGCTTTGCATGGATTTAACAATCTTGGACGTTCGGTGACCGCTACTTTTCTTTCCAGAAATAGATTTTATTTGCAATGATTATTATCTCCAGATTGTCCAAAAATGAACAAAAAAATCAATGTGGGAAGTTAAAAAAAATTCAAGATTTCTGTCCATGAGACATTGAATCCTGCCATCTTGCGGCTGCAAGGCACGCGAAACTATGGTCGCTAAATGCAAACTTGTTCTTTAAGGAACCTCACCAGTTGACTAAATTCACTTTATAGGTCCACTTACACCCGCTTTCAGTGTTACATGCATAGGCGACATCTTTTGACCATCTTTCGGCATGCTATGAAAGACCATTAAACTGTGAAACTGGTAGTTTTTCTGGTTATTAGTGGAGAAAATGACAAGTAAATGATCATTACCTACCTCAAATGGCTGAAGAAGATTTTGGACTTTGCATGCTTCCCTATTTACGGGATGATTCAAGCGATTTAGTGTAGTCAATCGGTTCTCAATAGTGACTTCCGGTAGAATTGGGCCGCTGCCGCTTTTAATATTCGCAACGTGTAAACATTCAAAACAGTCGACCTATTTCTGCCAGAAGGACTTCTTGATACTCCTAACATTAATTTGATGTCAAATAAATCATTACAATTCGAGTTTGACTGTAAAGAAGTCCGTTGTGCTTACATTTTTGAGTAGGCCAGGTTACATAGCAGGTCGAAAGATGGCATGTCGAAAGATGTCGCCTATGCACGTAACACTGAAAGCGGGTGTAAACAGTATTTGGCAGAGAACATTTCACTTCAAAGATTGTATTGCAACATTTTTGGGCTTACAGACACTGTGGCCTTATCCACTAACGAAGCTCAATGTTTTCAGATTCGGGGTGTTCTTCCAGGCATGTTCTGACATAACAAACTCATCATCTTACAGTGGTGAAAGTCTCAGGAAAAAATCAATGTTGGAAAATTTTTGCGCGAATGTCCTGAAAAACAAAATTATTTGACAGAATCTTAATATTGTCTTTCAGAAATTAATGGAAACACCAGTCCGGCTAAGAAACCTCATACTCAGTCTTGTTACTACATCTGCCAAGACTGCCTGGTGCACCTAGGAGATATTGGTAAATTTGATATGATTTATTACTAAGATTTGTGATTAAAACAAGGGAGCAAGGAAGGGGTGAAAATGCTGACTTCAATGATTAGTTTTAATACATTTAAGAGAATAATAATTATGTAAGAAAAATGTATGAGCTAGAGACTGAAAACATTGTCTGTAATATAACAAGGTTTCAATGATTACAAACAGCTGACCTGTAAAGTCAGGGTTGACCATACATGTAGCTGATATAAGTAAGAGAATGTTTTGGTATTAAAGCTATCCCAAGAAATAAGGATCAAGGCAATTCCTGTGGAATGTTAGGAGCCAAAAATATCTATATTATATAATGCGTAGAAACTTAACCGCTCCACCCAAAAATTTCTGCGGCAGGGTTAAAGTCCAGTTACTTTTTATTGTAATGGTAATTACCAATGGCTATAATGTATTTTTCTTTTTTTTTTTGTCCAGCTCGGTACTGTGATGACCCTGAGCAGGCTGAAGTGTTTTACCATCATGCACTTGTACTAGTTCCTTCAAATGGTATGGAGAACTTTAAATTTTTAGACTTTTAGTTCAATTTGTTCTTTAGGTCAGAATGATCTCAAGATAGATTCATTTGTTTCAACCTAGGTTAAAATTTCAAAACAGTTTCTTTTTTCACTTTTTTTTTGGGCGGGGAGGGGGTGGAAGGGGCATTTCTTAAAAAGAATCATATACACACCACCTATCCTACTCATTTCTAACCTACATGTAGATTTGAACACCAGACCTCTGACTTTGTAGTCCACCCTTATCTCCTCTAGGCTACACAAGTAATGGTTGGAAATGTTTCCATATTTGTTGTTAGTCTTATAAGTTGTGCCTTCAGACTCACCCTTCCCCTTTAATAAAAATTAACGAAAAAATTAACCTACAACATATTTAGTAAATTTAATACTTGCAGATAGACTCTGCTATCTTAGACTGCCATCAAGTCTAAAAACCAATTGAAGTAAGAGAGGAGACTTCATGTTAGGACTTCATGCTCTTGGTCCATAGACTGTAATGTTTACTGAATTTTGTAATATTCAACAGGTCAGCCTTACAACCAGTTGGCTATTTTAGCTAGTGGCAAGGGAGATGAACTGGTAACAGTTTATTACTACTGCAGAAGGTACATAAGTTGTGGCTTTGTTGTGATTAATTGATATTCAGTATTAGAGTGTCAAATACATGTATTTATGATTAAATATTTGCATTTTGCTGTTTTGCTTTTCAGTATTGCTGTGAAAAATCCTTTCCCAGCAGCATCGACAAATCTTCATAAAACACTGAGCAAAGTAGTTGCAAGGCATAATACAAGGTATGGGTTAGCCTCCTTTGTACAGAGAGCTTGGTCAAATGTTATTTTTAAACAACTGTGAGCTGAGCTTTAGGTTGTATGATAATCACGATTAAGGCAAGGCTCTGGGTTGTCAGAAAGTTTTGAAATAGGTGGCTTAATTAATATTTGTCAGGAGTACATGCAGTTAGCTGATTTAATTTGCCATGTTTCCTAAAGAATCAGAACACTAGTGCAGCATAGTGTCAGGCCAAGATCAAGAAGTAGACAGTGAGTTTTGTTGGTAGCCTGATGCTTTTGACAAAAAATGTAAAACCCAGAGAGTCCATGCAATTACCGGTTTATATTCAAGACTGCTTTTTATTGATCTTCCAGAGATGGGAACTTTGAAGTATCCAAGGCAGAGTTTGGTCATATTTTCCTTCAGTTTCATGGTCTTGTGTATCTTGTCCAAGGTAGGGAAAAGTGAAAGTGACTGTTGCTCAGTTCAATTTTGTTAATTAAATTGCAGGAGAAGAAGCACTTATTACTAACAGTATATTAATATTTAATAATAGATTCCTAAGAATGTTAAAGGAGCTCAGTCACGGTATTTTGAGTTATTTTGGCCACATACAAAATTACCTTTAAATGGTAGAAAACCTGAAAATAACAGTTTAATAAGATAGAAAAACACCAAAGAGATAATGATAAACCATAAAGGAACAAGGATGGCTAAGGATGGAGAAGATTAACACAGATTATAAATGATGAATTTGAAAAATTGAGGCTAAACTTTTCAATATGCGCAAATGGTGATTGAGCTCCTTTAAGAATCTTAGAATTCTCTAATCAGTGTATGTGCCACTGAAAAATTGAATTAAAGAACAAAGTGCCTGTCACCCTGTTTAATGTTATTTTGCTGATAACAGAATTGGATCAGGCAAGAACTCTCAAAGATCGCATTATTGCCGCATTAAAAGTGAGTTTATATTAAATATAAAGTAATAAAAACTGGATCATTAGATAATCCAATTCAAGAGCTTTTGTTGGCTTAGCTATTATGGTATATGAGCAATTATTCCATGCTCTACAAATACGGTAAGCGTGCGCTTGATTTTGTTTAGGCCTTTGACAAATTATTTTAGTCCAGTTTTCTATATTCTGGGGGCGTTTTTAGTAAAACAATTATTCCACTCGCGCNGGGGGGGGGGGGCATTTATATTAAATTTTGTTTCAGTTTTCTATATTTTGGACGTGGTTGTTGGACATGAGATGATTATAGCCAACTTGACTATATATGCCTCGTTGGCTATCTATCATTTCATATCCAAAGTGCGCTCATGAATTGTTGATTTAAGCCCTGGAAACAGACCTTCTTAGTTGGAGTAGAGACACAAAAGGTCTTATACTGACTGAATTTTCGATGTCTGCTGATTAGATTATTTCAACTGATTTGAAGGTCTGCTCTAGCCTCTTAGTAATTTTTTTTGTTTTCAATCTATAGGGAATCTTGAAACAGAACAAATTCACTTCAGAGTTTCTCATCAAACTAGTGGCAATCAACTTGTTTCTGTTGTGGAATATCAGGACGGGAGGAGCAGATGATCTGGAGGAGTTTGACTGTATTGGCAGAGACGAGGAGGTTAAAAGATGACTTGTTAACTTAATATACACTCTTCTAGTAGCATGTGGAAGCACAGTGGCCTTGTGTGCTGGCCTCTGGATTGAGTGGTCCAGATTTGAGTCTTGGCCAGGGACATCGTATTGTGTTCTTGGGCAAGAAAATTAACTCTCACAGTGTCTCTCTCCACCCAGGTGTATAATTGGGTAGCGGCAAATTTAATGCTGGGGGTAATCCTGCGACGGACTACGATCCCATCTGGGGGAGATTAGAAATACTCCTAGTTACTTCATACCACAGAAACCAGAGATCAGCGCCGGCCTGATGGGCCACTTGGCTCATTTCCAGACTTTACCTACCTTTACCATTTCTAGTAACATGCTACGAAAATTTTTCAGCTGATTGGATCATATTATATCCTAAGTGTGACAGTCATGTACTCTTTTTAACATGGATGTCATTATTGCTGTTTACCTTTAAAGATCTGCTTTATTTTTAGTCATGTATTGATTATGGCTAAAGAAAGAGTTGCTCTCGATGTATATATTTTTTGCATCCTTACTGATTGTAGGAGTGTTGGCAACTCACCCTGGAATTTACAGGTATTCATTTGATTAGTAGATTTTTACATTTAACAGTAAGTCATTTACAAGACAAAACAGTACATAGTCATTGTCGTTTTTTTGCTTAGTACAAGAAAAATTAATTAGTTTTGGTCTACATTTTGCATTTCCAGAAAGACAAAATATCACTCTCTAACATGTTTGACTTTTTGTGTATTCTTAATGAAAATAGAAGGCCCTGCTTACCAAACTTTCACTGGAAAAAAGTTATTTCCTAGCCACTCTTTAAGTTCCAAGAGTAATCAAAATCAAATTTTTTCCTTGTAAGATCCAAACCTACTCTATCATCTATGTCAAAAGAATTTACCACATGATATTCATTGACAAATAGTCACAGTCAGAGTTAATTAAAAGTCATTCAGTTGACTGGTACTGTACAAAAAAAGTATGCACAGAGACCTCTAGTTAATTTAAGGCAAGCTTTTATGTTGCCCATGACTTAAAGGCTTACTGCAATTGCATGTACAGTTAACTCTCACCTTGCTGACACCCTGATATTATGGACACCCGCTGTTATGAACAGAAGCTAAATCCCTGGCCAAAACTTCAAAGAAGTCTGTTATTGCAGACTCTCTCTATTATGAACACCAAATGACGGTCCTGAGGGTTTCCGCTATAATGAGAGTTAACTGAACTACATGTACTCAGCTTGAATTTGGACAAAACATTCCTTTTGTTATTTGCTTTCCAGTGGAGTTGTTTGACACTCTTGTACTGCATGCTTGCGACAATGAACCATCAAAGGAAGAGTCTTCTGCCCCAGGGTGTGACGTGCTTCCAGCTCTCAATCTACTGTGTCAGTGGATGGCAGGATCATCCCCCAGTATTTGGAATGGAGAGGTGCTCATGAAAACTAAGTGAGTCAAGAGAGTGGTCCACTCTCTTAATGCCTGGTAATTGTAATTATAGCTGAAGCAAGGACAACGATTTGGGCTTCTCCTGTATTCATCTGATAAGTAACAAAATAATAGTAGTTTCTTTCTAGATAAGTGGATACATGTAATACACCTTTTTTGTTAAAGGGTACTTTGAATAAACTATAGACTAAGGCAAAGAGACTATAAATTTGTAACTTAAAACAAGATTCAATGAATGGGGATATTCTTTGAATCTTAATTAAGCTACACATACATGTATCTGTGGGAGGCACATTGGCCTCATGACTATTGCTCTTGACTCCAGATTGATTGGTCTATGTTCAAGCACTGCCTGGGGACATATTGTTGTGTTCTTGGTCAAAACACTTTACTCTCACAGTGCGTCCTCCCACACAGGTGTATAGATGAGGGGGGGGAGGGTTAGGTAACCCTGTGATGTACTTGCATCTCATCCAGAGGGGAGTAGAAACACTCCTAGTTGCGTCATGCTACATAGAAACTGGAGATAAGCGCTGGCCTGCTGGGCCACTTGGCTTGTATGCAGACCTTACCTTTACCTAATTCAAGATAGTTGTCTCCTTTACAGGCATTGCAACACTTTTCACCCTCTAAAGAAATAGTGTTCCTGTTGCACCTCAATCCTAAAAATTCATCAAAGGAGAGACTAGAATATAATCTAGATTAAAAAAAAAATGAATTTACACTCCGACAGAATATGTACCATATAAGTTCTGGCTTCAGCAGTACTAATGTGATTTATTCTTTTAGGATATGGGAGGACTTTGCAGCATTATTGAATCTCTTGCAAGTGGCAAACCCTAATCTACCTGAGAAAATTGGTAAGTCGAAAAGCTGGGAAAATGTTGGCAATAGTTGACTGTTTTATAACAGGCAACAGAATGCCATCTGGGGTTGTAGGCCCACAATGCATGCATAGAACTAGGAAATTATTAATAACTCTCACAGACCTGGAATACATATGAAGGGATGGGTATTATTTATAATCAGCTCTTAGCGCAAAACACTTAAGTTTTGATTCCAGTGCAATTACCTTCCTCTTGAGTGTAACCCAGCATTTGTAATGCACATTCAGTATTGGCTTCCATTATCAACTGAGCTCTCAACATGATTTATTTAGTATGTTCTGATGTTTCTCTATGTGACCTTGTTTCATAGATATTCCTCTTCATGAAGACTGGGAGCTTCAGAGCTTTCTTCCTCTTAGAGTCAGTCAAAGGTATGCAAAAGTTTTAAAATAACTCCAATTGATCAACTCCTGTAAATTTAGATGCTTGTCTTTCTAAGAAGACTCAGGATCTTCGCATTTCGTTATTAAAAAAAAAAGAAAAACACTTTGTATTGCCAGTAACGTGTTATGCTGCACAGTTCCTTTTGGGATCCTCCATCTGGAGGGTACTGAGGAGCAGTGAAAAGTAACTAATTTCTTTTGTTTTGATAACAAAGGAAACTAACTTACAGTATGAAGAGGACAAGACCAGATGATGAATCTGTGCACAGAGTTGGTAGGCTTGTCAGATTTGGAAATCGGCTGGTGAACTACTCTCCTTGGTGAGAACCAGTATGGATGTTCTGCTATCTTTGCCAGTCTTAGATGTTTACTGTTTTGGTAACTTTGTTTTTGTTCATTTTTAGTATCTTGAGTAAAGTGGAAGACCTTGCAACTGGCCTGTCAAACTTTTCCTTGAAGATAAACACTTCATCACCCATTGAAGAGGTAGTGAGATCATTAGAATACTAGTCAGTAACCACGACAAACATAATATAGTATGGGTTGGTGTGCCAGGCTTGAAATTGTTTGTCCATAATTCCACTTCGTTTTCTGGTACAATTACGTTTTTACTCTCTATCGTTTTATCGTAACGGTCGTAACCAAGACTTTGCCGGGTTCCATTTCAACAGTTTATTTACAAATCTTGTTACATATATGGAGAGCCTACTCCGTGTTGGTTTGAACTAGTCAGTAGAATTCTCTAATATATTGCATTGTGTCGCTTGGCTATTATAGAAAAACAGTCAAATGAAACAGGTAAGATTTAGTTCTGTAAGTTCTTCAGACCGTTTGCAAAGCAAAACACAGCTCTAAGTTTGGATTTTGGGAAAAAGAAACATTGCTTTAATTAGGATGACACTCTTATTAGACTGACTTATTAGACTTAGTGGTTCCGCAAAAATAAAGCAAGATCCATAAATATACAGTGACATAACACCAGTTCTGTTCTGATATAGATTTCAGTGCCGGAAGAAAAGTTTCCCAAGTCACCTCAAGACATTGATTTAGAGTCTGCAGGACAAAAGTTGCTGGCTTCTTTACCAAACCTGAACAAGGTAAAGAAAGTCGTTGTAGTGTAAGAGTGTAGTAGCTTTCCCTGGCTTGCTGTTTTTTTGCTATCCTTCCAATCCTCGTGATTTCCTCTTGAGTTTCATTTATTCGTTGCACTGTACCGTCGAAAACACAACAACAAGATTGACCATCAACAAAAGTGTTTTGTACAGTTACTGTAGTTTTTAGCGACATTTAATGTCAACTTACCGTCGTGGTGATCTTATAGTGCTTGCAGTTTTTAAAAGAACAGCCTGAACAGTTAAATAAAATTAAAATGTTGCGTTTGTTTTCAGGCAACACCGGTAGGGACACCGTTTGCTGAAACAAGGTAGGAGCAAGTTTTCAATGCTATTTTCATTTGCTTTGTGTTGGTAAAGGTTAAGTAGGAGATAGAGTTTGAATCCAGAAAATATCATTAGTTTGTCTTGCACTGACGATCATCTGCGTGAAAGAAATTCAGAGAACGACTGTTGTTTGCGACTGTCTTCATCAAGTCATCACAACGTTAATTCTATGGTTTTATGACGTCTTTTTGGGGCAATAAAAAGATGATCAAAGAGTAGGAAATGCACGTGCCTGTAATTGAAAGGTTTTGTTTGTTTGTTTAGTTCGCTGTGAATCTTGTTTTCCGTAACCTTGGCTTCAAATAATTATTTATTGCACGGGGTTGTAGATACAATCCCTTATTTTCAGTGTTGTTTCCAACAGTTCCTTGTTCAAGGGTCCATTAGATGTTGGCCACACTGCGGCAGGACTGGTTCCACCCTCTCCCTCCACAGTAGCTCAGTATTCACTGTTCCAGTCAGGATGGAATGTACCCCTCACCTCTGCAGCACTATCCCACCCAGGTATATGTTGAATGTTTTGCGTAGTTCCTCTATGGCTTTTTCCCAAGCCTCGACTGCGTATTCATTTTGAGGATATCACCGAGACGGACGAAACTGGAGAGTTAATTCCCTTTCTTGATTTCCCTAGTTTGTGACCTTCATCAAGAGCACATTCCCCGATTCATTCAATGCTCTAGGTGATAGTAAGCAGCAGTAAATATCGAAAAAGCTCTTCTATTATTACGCTAACACCCGCGTAATTTTCTTCGGCTGTGCGGTAATGAAGAAGACTTATGAGATGAAATAAGACGTTATAATAGGCCATTTCTGAGTTGCCTTTTGCCTCTGGGTCAAAACCAGTCTTCGTGCGAAAACCATTCATTTGAAAATGTGTTCCGCCTTAAGGTTGACTTTTATGCAAATCAAACTCATGTTCATATGAAAGGTTTTGCACGAAGACTGGTATTGAAACCGGCGGAGGTACAAGGTAACTCGGAAATGGCCTCTTACATTCGCAGAACAACCATCTCAAAGACCCGTGGCAAAGCCACCAAATCACCGTGTGACCCCCACAGATCACTTGACAGGCACCGGAGCCAGTTCTGTATTTCCACCCACCTTACCATCTCCCCCTGCGGTTCCAGAGAACCGCAGACCTACCAGTTTTGGAACAGGATTCCCTCCAGCCCCGATGCAAGGAAATTTCAACTCTCCATCCCAGTCTCCATTTGGTGGGTTTGGGCTCAGCGGTGGCTGGGGTTCTGGGGTCTGGGCGCCAAACTCGTCAAGTGCCAGCGGCAGTGGTGGGACAAGTCCTGGAGCACATGGTTTGCAGGTAATCTTGTGTTGACCGTGTTCTTCGTTGTTCTGTTGCAAGCTGCGAGATGGTTCTAGACTGAGATTTTTCTTTGACTTTGATTGATTTATCCTTGTTCGACTCACGAGGTGCGGTTAGCGTATGAAACTTGAGAGTTTGAGCCCAATTACCGTCCTCGCTTTGTGTTGGGCAGGAAATGCTAATCTTAAAATGGTGTATTCTGTCCAGGTTTGTAAATGGGTACTGGCGAATGGTTGGGTAATTCCTATGGAATTCTGTAGAATTCCTGAGGGGAAGGGTAATAACCTTCGGTCGATTGACTAATAGCTCATTAGGAGGCGGGGCAAAAACTCGCTTCAAGCCAACGAAACCGGGTTCAGCTGCTGATACTGCTGTGAACTGCTGTGCCACGAGACACTTCTCGACCCAAAGATTGCAGCATACTTATCAGACATTAAAAACATCTACAAGGCAGACTTGTATTGATACACATCTTGTAACTTGCGTAAATATGCTTGTATTGCAGTCTATCTGGGGTTCAGACTTTACTCCTCAATCTGAAGGAATGTCTCCTCTGCAACAGCTTCTACAGGAGCAAAAGAAACACCAACAGAAGGACACTTGATAATCCAGATCAACTGAGGTTTAGCGGTTTCCATGGTGACGTGATGGCAAAAGGCGTGGTCACGCAGGGCTTGCATCAGCTCAGCTCAATTATTACTGCACTTCATAAAGCAAATTACTGGACATATTGGAGCCAGTAGGTTAACTAGCAGTGACGCGAGTACAGAGACTTTGCTTTACACCAGCTTCAAGTGCTGAGTAGGAATATCTCCACAGTGGACATCTTAGAAGTTTTCGGACGTAAGAACCAAGAAATCTAAAGAGCCGATGGGATCATTTCTTGTTTTGTCGGGAACACAACTACGTCTTCAAAAGGAGCAAATGCAATTGTTGAGTTTACACGAAATCTACTCAACGTTTGTCTGCATTTTAGGAACATCTCTTAGGGGATCTACGAGCTCCCACTTAGATTGTCAAAGTTTATTACGGTATTGTGAAGTCTACCTGAGGCTTGTAATGTACTTTGTTATTACATTTAATATATGGTAGAAATCGAAAAGAGTAACCAGCGATAATGCGCACTTTCGATTTGAAGGAATTGTTTTTTCTTCATCTTAAACATTCATTTATTTGACTAAAAAATTCAAAACTATTATAATTGTTTTAAGCGGAAAACCTACAACGTTATTCAAACTTGAATCTCGAGTTTTACCTTCCGACTCTGTTCTTGCACAGAATTTACTTATTTGATCGCTGGCGAGTGCTAACGGTCATCAAAGTCACTTGATTTTGTTGTGCAGTTCAAATGCGGTATGTTATCTCGGCTGGGTTTTAAATTCCGGGCGGTTTCTATTGATCATACGCAAATCGGTATAATTCAATGAAACTAGAAGAAGAAAAGGGCGATGATATACTTCTTTGTCATCGGCACCGCTGTCTTTTTAGGACTGAAGATGTCTTTTGAGTAAGTGTCACAGAGCCCTGTTTATTTTAGAAAATGACAGGCCTTAAATCAGTGTAATTAACCTTCTTTTCCATTCAGTGTAATGTAAAGTTTACAAGCTATGAAGAATCGAGTTGACACGAGAGGATTTTGTGTTCTCACCATATTAAATTTTTTGTAAGTTAAATAATTTCTCTTGGGGTTGTAACTTGGTAAATGTCAAGACACTTTACGGAAATAAAAACGTCGTACGTTTTTCTCTTATTTGTGGAATTCCTGGCTTACGGTAGATGATAAACGGCATATAGTTGCTTTTTTGTTAGTTGTTTATGTTTTTGTTTCTTTGTCTTTGGAGATGGCTCCAAAAACTCACCTTACAAGAGAGAAAAGATCCACAAGGCTCAAACAGAAGCTGCAAACAGGACTCAACACCCCAAACCTTTCTATCCTATGCAACCTTCTACTCCTTTGGAAAGGGACTTAGAAAGGGACTTGGAAAGGGATTCGTCTACTTACACCTACCCACCCCAAATGTTACTTGGGGAAGAGAGGTCAGATGTGGGGTGGGAATATATAAATGCTAAAATGAATAACAACTTCTCGAATGAAAAGGCTTTGCCACGGTATATTATTTTGTTTAGTGTTTCCAGTACTATTATCGGTGACTGACAGGATACTGAGGAAATACTTTCTAAAACTTACTAAGAATCCGTAGGAAACATTGTGATTATCTTACACGACGAAGCAACTTGTGAACAATTTCCGCTGTACAAATTTATAGGGGGCATCAAAAGAAAATGGCGGACGATAATGGTAAGTTTCAAATTGGATAATTTAACAGCTCGTATGTCCTATTTATCTGAAATGTAAAGGCTAACTTTACATAGCTCGATATGCCATAACGTCTTACAGCTGTGTAAACGTGGTGGCCACGATTCTAGCGTATCTTTACTTTTTTTCATTGTTGAAGATAAGCCTTGGATTCAGCCGTTTCGATTTCTGACTTATGTTATATGTTCTGTATAAAAGCATTCTTTCTTCAAGTTCACCATGTAAAGCTAAAAGCTTGAATTTTATAATACTCACACGATTGCAAACAAGACAAGTTGACCTCGTTCAAATATCAAAAGAGAATGGTGTTTGTATTTTCCACAATAAGCGCAGCGCTGTGTCTTGTGTTGTTGTCCAGCAGGCTAACAGCGTTTTTATCGTGTCCGGCAGGCAGAAAATTTTCCTTTTACATCGTGTTACCATTATAATGATTTGAGAACTAATTCTTCAACAGGTCAAACATAATCTTTGTGTTTTTCAGGCTAGCCGGAGTGCTATTCAGTGCGAACCAGACATGGATTAGTTTAAACCAAGTGTACATGTAATACTCCATGTCCAGGAAGTATTTTAAACCAAGTGTAATACTCCATGTCGGTACCTCTATGTCCAGTTAGCGTGAAAAGCACTCTGTTTAGCCTGAAAAGTTCTATAGATATGGGGATCTACAGATCTATAGATTTTTCTGGGCACAAAATAAAGATTGTTGTTGTTGTTGATAGCCTGAATGGCACACTGCTTAGCCTGTTTATGGCTAATTTTCAATAACAATTATTGTATTGGTAAATTACACTATAAATTCATGGTCATAAATGGACAATTTTCTGACTGCCAGCAGGAAAGTATTTTATAAAAGCCTTCTAATTTTGATGTGATTGTGTTTTACCTGTGCATTTCTTTTTAGCATTATTTACCTTTACCTTTATTTATTATTTACCTTTTTTCAATGGTAGATCCCCAGATATATAGGTTTCAAGACTGTGAAACATCACCAGACTCTTTCTATGACTATTCACCAAGTATTAGAGATAACACTGTCCCACTTATTATTGATAATGGTGAGTTCTTCCTGATTAACCGTAAGTTCCATCTCATCTCTTTCCAAGTCGAAAAAGAAGGGTCAGAAATGGCACCTCCTTAAAAATTAAAGGCAAATTTTATTTACCAGTCAGTGTGATTTGAACCATTAGATACATGTGTATCATTGAAGGTTTTCCTGCTACGTTTTAGCGGTCAATAGAGTCTTAAACAGCTTTTTTGTTATCTTGACTGGGGCAAACCTGTCGAAAACTGGATAAAACATGGGATTTTGAACAAATTTGAAAGGCTGTAACTCCACTTGAAATCAGGTGCCTATAAATTACCATTAGCATTTTGGCTATGTGAGCAAAAAGAAACCATAAGAACCAACATTTTGGTGTCCTCATGGTGCCATTGTCAAAATACACATTAATTTTTATCTTATCTTTTACATATATTTTTGCTTGCATATACATTTCTAAATCATTTAGCCAACTGACAACTATTAAAATTAAACATATTAGGTAAAGAAAAAGTCTTTGACCTTGCAGTTGACGATAAATTTACTTTTAGTTTTAACAGATCTTCTGTTACCAATGGAGTCATTTTGTAAACAACACTTAACAAGTAGCTGGTAGAATAGATGGCACTTGCACTTTGTGTCCAGCCTTCGTGTGGGTCAAATAGCAGTTGCTGACGCATTCCTGTATTTGTTACAAACCCAGGTGGTCATTGTTGCAGGGCAGGATGGGCAATCGACAATAAACCAAGATTAATTTTCAGAAACCTGGTAGCAAAGGCAAGAGGAAAAAAGGTATTGTTCCTTCTGCAGTCATGACAAGAGGCTTCTTGCTGTAAATATGTGGTTGGTGACATACACTGTACATGTAATAATGCAGGTTATCTTTCAATGTAACATAATTTATCACAGGATGGTGATGCGTCAGGAACAAGTTACTCTGTTGGGAATGATATTGGGAACCTTGAGATGGTCAGATGGGCCTTGCGGACTCAATTTGACAGAGATGTGGTGACACATTATGAGTGCCAGGTACAACATAAGAGAAAATCAATTTGACTCTTCTTGTTCCATGTAGCTCTTGTATACTCTTACGTCAAACTCCTGAATTAGAGATAGCTACAGTGCTGACTATAGTAATATACAGCAACTTTTTATACTTCAAATTTTATTTCACACTTTTCTTCAACAACCCATATAAATTATGTTTATTAAAAAAATCGGTTAGGCAGATTTTCATTTCTGTTTGCTAATACAGTTAAAGCGTTCTTCTTTTGGTGCAAATACTAACTACTATTTACATTATGTACTGTCTTGTAAACAGGAGCAAGTCTTTGATCATATCTTCAGTCATCTTGGAATCAACACACCAGGAAGTGTCAATCATCCTATTGTTCTGACAGAACCAGTTTGTAACCCTAACTACTGCCGACAATGTAAGTAAAATACTCGACTGTGTCAAATACAGCACCTTTATAATATTTTTAGTCAGAGGTAGCATAGTGGTGAGAGCACTCGCCTCCTACCGATGTTTCTCCAGCTTGAATCCAGGACCCAGTGTCACATGCAGTAAAAGGGCTGAGTTTGTCACTGCTCTCCTTGCTCCAAGGGGATTTGTCTCCAGGTTCTCTGCTTTTACTTCCTCCACAGCAACCCACAGGTTCTAAACTCTGATTCGATCTTGATGTCTGGACACTTAATAACGAGCTTGTCAGAGCTCATCTGTGTTTCATATGTAAAATTAATAAAGATTACATTTACATTTTTTCCATTATATAGGGGTTTAGAATTTGTGCAATTTCTGTTACTTCATGCATTAATTATTTTACTTAATTATTGTTTTTCTTTTGTTTCAGCCATGTCTGAGCTGTTGTTTGAGTGTTACAATGTTCCAAGTGTGGCTTATGGAATTGACAGTCTGTTTAGTCTATATCACAACTTCCCAGTTACAGGTCAGTAGCTGAATAAATCATATGCATGTTATTTTAAATACTAGTCCTAGAAAATGTGTGTACTTCAGAAATATTAACTTCAGTTTCTGTGACCACTTTAATTTGTAGTAGCAGTCATATCAATAACTACTTATTAACCAAGGGTGAGGGTTTAGCGGGAAAATCTTAAACCAAGACCTTGCCGTATCGACTGAGAGATAGCGAGGTCAATACAGCAAGGCTGAGATTTGAGATTTTCCCTTAAAGACCAAACGTTCGAGGTTAATAAGTTGTTTATTATATGGCTTTTTGCTTTAGTTTTACGGGCCTGTAATCGGCCTGTGGGTAGTACGGGAGAGTAATGCCCTACAATTGGCCAATCAGAGCATGCGTTTTATCAGCTACAAACACCAGCCATATAATAATTTCTCATCGCATGTTATTCTGTACCTGAGATGATAGAGCTATTTGACGGGAAAAACAACATTTTTAACTTAAGGTTGTCCCCAGGTCAGATTTACTCAGTGAGTAAAGGTAAAAGTTAAGTCTGCATGCATTTCAAGTGGCCCATGTGGCTGGCGCTTATCCCAGTTTCTGTAGCATGAAATGTCTAGGAATATTTCTACTCCCCCCCTAGATGGGATGTTAGTCCATCACAGGGTTACCCATTTGTACACCTGGGTGGAGAGTTAAGTGTCTTGCCCAAGGTAAAAAAAAAAAGGTAAAGTCTGCTTGCGAGCCAAGTGGCCCATCAGGCCGGAGCTTATCCCGGTTTCTGTAGCATGAAGTGACTAGGAGTATTTCTACTCCTCCCTGGATGGGATGCTAGTCCATCACAAGGTTACCCCCAGCATTAAGTTCGCTGGTACCCATTTATACACTTGGGTGGAGAGAGGCAGTGTGAGAGTGAAGTGTCTTGCCCAAGAACACAACACAATGTCCCCGGCCAGGGCTCGAACCCGGACCATTTGATCCGGAGACGAGCGCACTAACCATGAGGCCACCATGCCTCCCTCTTGCCCAAGATCACAACAAAATGTCCTCAGCCAGAACTCGAACCTGGACCACTTGAGTGACAAGTGCACCATGAGGCCAATGTGCCTCCACTGTACCTCAGTGGGTAGAGCCGGGAAATTTGGGTCAGAAAACTGCTGTATTGTGAAATCACTTTTTGTTTAGAATCAAATAATTCTAATGAACTTGTAATAAAATGTTAAGTTGTATATCATTGCAGATGAAACCACTGCATTAGTAGTGTCATCTGGATGTCAAGTCAGTCATGTCCTACCAGTGTTGAATGGAAGACTGGATGCCAGCAACTGTAAGAGGTCTGTTGCCACTGCAAATTATAATTTCCTTCATAACAATGATTGATTGAGTAATCTATGTGCAGGGCGTGGTTAATAAATGTGATTTAAGTGGCTGCACAAGTAGACAACATTAGGCCATGCTAGTTTGCTTGCTTTTAAATATGATCTGCATTTCTACCATCGCTAGGCAAGAGGTTCTTTTGTTAATTGTTGAAAATATGTTTTCACAACAAACTAAAAAAAGAGACATTGTAAGAACTGTCTGGTTTTGACTTGAGTTTAATGACATGTATGATGTAAGTGCACTACTGACATTAAGTTTTTAACTCAATGTTTTATCACACAGGATTAACCTGGGCGGAGCTCACGCCACATGGTACATGCAAAGACTGTTACAGTTGAAACACCCACATCACGCCACACAGATCACACTCTCAAGAGCACAGGTGAATATGTCAACAGCTTCATAGATTTACTTACAGCCAGCACGAACAACAGTAGATAGGATTTGCTAAATACGCTCTAACCTTGTGCTGCTTAATATTTGTCATTTTCTCAATTAAACACCCCTAATGTGTTAAATATGTCAAACGTAGCCTGGAGGATTCATCATTTATTTGTCTCCTGTAGTTTATTCATGAATGCTAGTGTTTATTAGGCAAGCCAAGGTGTTTTTCAGTAAGTTGTTCCTGCTAACTTTCCCAAGTCACAAGTATGAGATTTTTATTCTGGAAGTGCCAAGATTTTCTAAGAAGATCTGACCATAAGTCTCATGCCTGGGGGTTGAAACTTCAATCTCACACCTTCTTCACTCCAAGGTTTGATGCTTCTCTTCCTCTGAGCTCAGCTTTCACAGCTCAGCTTTGTGGGCAAGGCTAGGTATTTTAATGCTGTGGATTTCTCAAGTAAATTACTATGCTGCACCATGCCGCTCCAGGTGCCCCTAATTTGACTGTGCCACACCTCTCCACATCACACCACACCATCTATGCTATGTTTATAAATTTTATATGCTTTGCAAACTGGATTGAAGTGTAGGCCTCATGAGCTGCCACTGTGTTTGAATTCAGGTATGCTACTGGCAGTCATTTTCAGAGTGGGGTGGACTATTTAAGTGTTGTTTTTGTACAGGAATTAGTTCATGGCCACACCTCCATGGCCACAGATTACTCCAAGGAGCTTGATGAGTGGGCATCGTCTGATTATTATGATGAGAATGTGCATAAAATTCAGCTGCCATATGCTCAGGTGAGATAAAATTTAATTTGTGATAGGTGGTATTGACATCAATTAATTTTTTGCTGACATGGAACAGAGGATTGGGTGCTAGCATAGTGTGGAAAGGCTCCTGGTTACTACATTTGTAAAAAAAAGAACGGTTGAGAAACTTGTGACATTCTATGGTCAGCCTTGCCACTAGCACTATTGGACAAGTGTTACTTTATGTGTTGTGTGAATAGTTTTGTCTTATTTATCTTTGATTCTGTTGTTTATTATATAATAACCTTAAGACCCCAAGGGTGACACAGCTGCATTTGGTCGGGTGGAGGTTTTTGGGGGTTTATGTGTCAGGCTTTGGTGCATGTAGGATGTTATTTGATCTACCTTTTATTCACCGTTATGTAACCTTATTGTGTCAATTAAAACATATGTTGGACTTGACTTACCAACGTACCTATGCCTGATAACCTTTGACTGTGTTTGGTTGTGTAGTGAAGGCAAAATCTTGCTTTTTATGGCCCTGTTTCCACCAGCAATGAACATGAAAGAGTGTGAACCATGGCTGGAATATTGCAGAGATCAGTGAGATGATGTTCAACAACTCACTGTGTGCCAGTAATTTAAGCAATTCAGATTGGCTTTTAAGTTACAGTGTGGGACTCAAAGCCACACTCTGTACTGTTTATGGGTCCAGTGATCGACTAACTGAGTTTTGATAATACAGTGTATCTAGCATATGAAATAGATGACATTAGGGATATGGAAAACATACAGTACTGCATCTGTGAACTCCCACAGGTCCAGGCACCTCAGAACAGTGGGCCAAAGAGTGAAGAAAAAGAAAAGCTAAGGAGGCAGAAACAAGGAAGGAGATTACAGGAAATAAATGCCAGAAGAAGAGA